CCCCCCTGCACTCCTGTGGGACACTCCATCTGCCCCAGCATTGCAGCATTCACAAGCCACACTAGTACGTCGAGGTATGTAACAAAAACATTTAAAGCTGTGTCTATGTCTGAATCACTGATTCTCCAAATCAGCATCGAATCTTCAGATTTGGATTTGGCCAAATCAAATTGGGGACAGTGATCCGAATTAATGAATCAAATCACTGTCCTTGATTTGGGCTGAATCTGAATTGAATAGGTCCTGCTTCACACACCCCTAGAAATTACCATACCATTGTATAGCAATTATTGCCAGTATTTACTACCATTGTTCTCAAGAGCATTAACTGTTTAACACAAACATACATCTTGTATATAATACCACTCTGTTGTTTATTTCCATTATTTAAGTTACATACAATCTTGAATAAATAGCTGTAATTTGTCCAGCTTTTTTGTATAAATATTGCTGTAGGATTTTTCTATGAAGCTTTAGTGTCTAAATAAACAGATTTTCTTATATGTTGAGCAATTTGCAAAAGTCAGCAAAAGATGACAATTTTACTGCAGCTGTGAAATGTTGAGTGAATGCACATGGAAATCAAATGATACTGACTCCATTTTGCACTGAAGTGATAAGAGTCTATGTAATAATCACAGCTGTCTGGGAGCCACTGAAACTCTTCCATGCTCAGTTATGCAGCCATAGTTTATAGCAGTCTTGCTTGGTAGGAGGTTGCCTGGCTATAGAAGTTGCAACTTACAGTTTGGAAAAAAGTTTAGGAGTTAACCTTCTGAAGAGCTCTGTATTGAGGCTGATCAAATAATTGATTTTTCATGGGGGGCTGATATTTTGGTTTAGTTTGTTTTCTGTTACCCCAATGATAAATCAAACCAAAAATCATTTGATACAAAATATTTTGTTTAACATAACATTAAAAAAGTTGTTTCATTCACTCTTTAAAAAAGCAAAGTAAATTAAATGTTTGATTCACAACACTCCCTGTGCTGGTAGTTGATATCCTCCCCTGCTCCCCTTTATGCACAAGTTCAAGGTTACTCACCTTGGATATGGGAGCCTTTGGCTTGTAGCACCTCCTCTACTTGATGGGCTGCAAACCCTATGTCTTATTTCCTAAAAGAGTTCCCTAAACGCAGCTAAGGTGGGGGATGGTGATTTAATTCTTGTCTGTTGCTGCTGTCCTACTTCAGGTTCACAGATAGGCATTCATTGGAGCAGGGACTAGAACTCAGGTGTCTTAGGCAAGGACAGACATTACACATAGACCAGTTTAAGTGATCAGAAACTAGTTTAAACCTGTAACAGAATATAAGTTCAGTGCACATAAACCAGTTTCAAAATGGCTGAAACTGGTTTAGGATAAATCTGGTTGAATATAGTATCAGGCTTAACTGATTTAGGTCAAACCGGTTTATGCAATGTCTGTCCCAGACCCCTTCCTGGTTTGACTTAAACCAGAGTCCCCCAGCATCCCAGATGCTTTGCAGCTCTGCACTGGGCTGGGCTTGGATAGGCTGTGCTCACAGCTCCAAAGAACAGGCTTGCCCTGCCCCTCTCCTCCATAGCCAGAGCTGCAGGGGAGACTGAAGGCCCAGCAAGGTCTGCCTGGCTTCTCTCATTGCTCAAGGAGAGATTCCCCCCTCCCTCCCCTCTCCCACAGCATATACCACAGCCCCACAGACCCTAGGCATGGGCTATGCTAGTTAATGCTGAGAGGTGTCTGTGTGTGTGTGCATGTCTCCAATTTCACTGGGACAGGCAGACAGAACAGTGTCCATTTAGGGCTTTTTGGAACTAATCAACATGTCAGCTGGTAGTGTCCCTCCATTCCTTCCCTGGACAAAGCTGTTTAAGAAGAGCTTGAATTAATGAGAGAGGCTTTTGTTTTGCTAATGGGCTGATAAACACTGTGTTTTTATCAGCCCCCCCTGCTGGTTTGCAGCCCTGTTAGGTTTTCAGACAGGTTTGCAGACAGGGAGAGGGAGATTGAAAAGCTCAGTATCATCAATAGATGCGTGCAGTGCACACCCCACTTTGCCTCAGAGTGATAGCCCAGTGCTGAGGTCTGGCAACAATCCTGCCCCTTGAGCAGTAAGCAGGGGAAAAGCCTGAGAAGGTGCAGGCCAGGGTTGGGGTTTAAACCCCTCCCTAATCAGAGCATCCTGCTGGGGCCTGACCATTCCCTCCCTCCCCCCCTCATCTCAGCAGAGTACAAGGGAAAGGAAGGCTACTCCAGTGCCCCCAGCCTTCTAGCCTGAGCCACTACCGGCATGTGCCTGTATTTTGAGAATTAAAAGAGAATGTCTCTCCACCTCCAAATTGGTTCAAGTTTTGCAGGTTAGACTAACCTGTAAAGAATGAATCAATTCAGGCTTAGACTTTTTAAATGTCTGTCCTTAGCCTTATAGGTAAATGACTAAACTATGAGGCTATTGAATAATTTGCTTTTGTGTTCTGTGGCACAATGAATATTTTAAATATCCCACCAACGTGGAACAACTCCAATAGATTTGGGAGATGAAGCACCTGTGTTCCACTGTCTGCTCCAGTCCATGTGTAATTAGTTATGCAATTTTGAATCCTGGTAATAGGAAATATGGTAAGGACCTCCTCCTGAAATCTGATTGCCTGGTAGCACAGGACTTTTCCTGGCAATTTACAGATAAGTTTTTAAAGTCACTTCAGGCAAAGGAAAAAATTTGAACCTGGGTGTTCTATGTCCTGGATGACAGCTCTACTCCCTTAGTTTTTAGGTAAAAGATGACCACCACTGCCTCTATCAATTGCAATTTTGTTAATCTACTCTCTCAGTTTTTTTCAAGGGAAAAGTATTTGGCTAATTTGACCTGAATTCACAAGTAATTTCATGTGGACTAACACCATATATATAATTTGATATATACAAAGAAGCAAACTACTGAGCTTTATGCTGTGAATATCTAACATTGTATTATTTATAAGTGACTTTTTAGTTTTTTTCAGCTTGAGGTGTAAATTTGTCTAACTTGAATACCCTAATCTATTGTCTTCAAGAAGAGACCGTTCAACAGCAATATTTCTTATTTTAATTGCTTCTTGAATGTCTGGAAATCATCCAGTGTCCTTGGACTTGAAATTAAAGAAGACAACTAATAGCAATTCAATCTGAACCATTCTTCTAAAATCTGTTGAGAAAGTTACAGTGGATCAGTTGATGTGCACTCATGAGCAATAAAATTCATTCCTCCTCATAACCACACAAATATCAAAGCGTACAATTATTTTATAAGTCCACACTTTTAATGTAATTAAAATGAATTTTTTTTATACACAAACCAGCATTGTCACGATCAACATATGTCATTAGTAAAAGGAGGAGGAAATATACAGTTCTAGTGAATGAATCCTACTGCTCATTAATACATTTTAACAACTGTTAAAACTGAGATTTAGTCAATATGTATATATCACTTGAGCAAGTAATGTTTAGGCACCTTACAATAAATCCTCAAGCTTGACAGAAAACCTCCCTTTGGTTTAAGACAGGGGTGCTCAACCTCTAGCTTGTGAGCCTAATGTAACCCGCAGAGCCATGGTATCTGGCCATGGTATCTGGCCCCAGTCAAGGTCAGAAAATTTGGTGGGGAGGGAATGATAACCACTAATACTGCCACCATCCCCTGCCATGAAATTCCAAACTCAAAGCCTTACATGGTGGGTTGAAGCTGGGCCATGATCCCTTCCCTCTCTGGGGCTGGGCTATGCCCTGCCCCCACAGCTCAGTCAAGGCAGGGTCACTCCCCCTATCTCCCCTGTGATTTGATTGGGGCCAGTTCCCCCCATGGGTCTGGGTTGTGGCTCGGCTGCCCCATTTCCAAATGGGGTCCCTCGATAACTACCCTAGGCACTGGATCCAGATCACTAGCCAGATCTGTCCCGCTGATAGACTGGACACTGCCCATTGGTTCCCTGACAAGAAAGGTTGAGCACCAGTGGCTTAAGAGGAGTTTGAACAGACCCTTTGAGATTAAAGTGCTGATATGCATTTCTTTTCTGCTACTCAGATAAGAATTTGTGCATAATAGAAACTTGCTCTTTTTTTTACATATGATTATTAAATGTGAGTAATTTAAACATTTCAGTGTATTGACTCCAATCAGCCTTTCAAGGCATATATGAAATGGCAGTTACCCAAGCGTTTTCACTTTGCCAACAATGACAGAATAGAACCAGTGCATTTTTACTTAGACTCACAGTGGCAACTTGCTCGGTAAGTTACCATTTTTCCATTCTTAATAATACAGAAAGAAACATTTTCTTTTCTAATATTTTAATTTTTCTCCTCTAAGTCAAAGAGCTGTCCAACTTCTAAGCAGCTGGGGGCCAAATGCCCTTTGGCCTGCACCAGCAGGGGCAGTATGCCCACAGACCACACCAGGGTGAGCCATGGCCCCCCCTGGGTTCACACTATGTGGAGGCCTCCCCTCCACTGCTGCAGAAGACCCACCCACTACAGAAGACCCCCCCCCCACCATTGTACCATGCAGCCACATAGGTGCTTCCCCCCACTGTTGAGTACCACATCCATGTTTTACTGAATTGGAAGCCTGTTAGCTATGGGAAGACAGTCAACTCCTCACAAGCTGTTAAACAACTCTGCTATATTTTTATCAAATACCAGTCAAGTCTGAACCTTTGCTGAGGAAACGGAGGGGTGACATTTTCTGAGCTTTTCATTATCACAGCTGTTCTCCCATTTCACCGTCAATAATTGCTTGGTAATGTTCTGACCAGTATATTTGCCATTGCTAGAATAGCGGCTTATAATGTAATAGTTTAAGGGCTAGATCCTACTTTATATGCCTATATGGCTGTTATCCTGCTGTGTTTCTGGCTTTTACACCCAATTTGTGATTATATTCTGGGTGCAGCATGGACGGGCAAGCATCCTCACAGCTACTGAGTATGCTCAATAGGACTATTCTCTGGCTAATCAAGCGTTTGATGCTGTGTGCTCATCCAGATGTGTACAGAGCAAAAATTCATGATTATCAAGTGTGAGACAAGGAGGTGGCAGGAAATCACCTCCCATGTTAGAGTCCTAGAGGGTGTTTACAACCTGCTTTTTCTGCCTCCCAGCAGAATGATTTAACTGCCAGGCCTCAGGATAGTCATTATCCAGCTTGTTCTCTTTTGAAGCTGAGCCACTTGGATTGGATGAAATAGCTGGAGAGCAGTAGAGAAACTTGTCCCACAGATCCTCCCCCTTCCAGATTAGTAGCCATCTTGCTGAGCCACACACCATCTATCTTGTGTTCTTCATCCTGGCCCTACATGTCTCCCTCTTGGCTGCTCAGGGAGCCAGTTCCGAGAGGAGGTCTGCAGAACTCCTGGCATATAATGCCTAACCTGTGCTGGGTAGTCAGACATCTGTAGGTTCAACCCCTTGGTGACCCTGGAACCTGACATAACATAACCTTTTGGCTAAAATATGATAGGGTTGTGTTTCTTGTCTATTTGTTTCTGACAGGTATGCATGTAGGTGTGCTGAGCAAATGTACTTGTCCCTGGCAAAATAGAATAACAAACTATGTATAAATGCCAAAAATGGATGTAGCTAGGTAACTACCATTTAGGTCCATAAAAAGAAATAGGATCCAGCCCTACCTCTGTATACCTATACTATATTTCAGTACTAGAAACATGATATATATCCCAGTACTAGAGACCCGGTTTCTTTATTGACCAGAGCTTTTTCTACTGGTGGCATACACAGATTTTGCTGTAAAATAATGATAATCTGCAACACTATGGAACGTGGTGTTTGGTAATTCTAAGACTATTGTACAATTAGTTAACAGGACCTGATTTATATCAGAGACCTTTGGCATTTGAATATAGAATGTATTTTAATCAAATGCATTCTAAATTACATTATCTTTTAATTCTATCAGAAATTATTTCTCAGTGAAATGTTGGATACTCTACATACAATGGTACAGTGCACTAAAGTTCTGTTATCCAAAGGATGAACTTCTTGTTCCCAAATTACTTATTGTTTCACATACATAAGATCTCTGTGCTGGAATCATTAAGCCTGAAGAGGTAATACCTGCAGATGATAATCTCTGTCCCTCATATTTTAAGGACAATCTCTCTTTGCATGTCCCTGGGATACAGACTTGGGTTTAATTAGTGTCCCCTGTAAGTTGAGGCAAGCAACATTGCACTGAATATGTTTTTATACTAATGTGTAAAGCATTATGGGTTTTATAAAATATGATTTTTTTAATAGGAAACCATTTGAAATCAAGTTTTGCAAAGGTGGATTTCATGGCTCAGACAATCTCTTCCCAAATATGCAGGTGAGAGCCAGAAAATATGAATCCTTCTTATAGTTAATATGAATACGCCTTGTTACAGATATGCAAAGGATAAGGGTTCAGACGCTTCTGTTGTTGTTACTGGGTGCAATTAATACAACTGAATAAATTCTGGTGCAGTTTGAGCCAGGTTAATCTACTCCCAATGTCACTGTCTACCCATGTGTTTAAGCACAGTAATGATAACTATTATAATTATAATAATGATCTTATAATCTTACTCTGCCATTGGATAGTACCTGTGTTTGATGGGACTATCCTATTCCAGATTAAATTAATCTGTTGTACCCTAATTGCAGTGCATGTGTAGATGGTGATGCATTACTGCATTGTAAATTCGTGCTTTACTGTTCAGTAACGCACATGTGTAGACATGCCCACTGTTGTGTAACGTACAGATCACAATTACAAGTCAGGACTCTACTGTGCTAGGTACTATACAGACATATAACAAAAAGCCCCTGCACTTGTCCAGTGGTCTTATAGGCTAAGTAAGGAGGAGCCAAAGTTTAGTTTTTCGTATAATCTTTCTGCTTTTAACATAAAATCTAAAATTTCAATGCAAGGGAAACACGCCAGGTCAGTTTTATATGAGAGGAGACTATTATGTTTCTTCTAATTTTTTCATTCTTCACTGGCATAAATATAGGGTTTCTTCACATGAAGAATACCAGTCATGTTGGGCTAACATTTAGACCATGTTCTTTAAGTCATTTGATTTAAAGAAATGGACAGTGAGGAATTTAATTTGTTCAAAGCATGGAAGAGTGGAGGAAATGTCAGAGATAATTAGGTTTGCATTTGGTTTTTCAAACCAATTATGAGTCAACTTCAGATTTACTAAAATGTATCTGCTTTCTCTATTTAAAAAAAATGCTTCCTTTATGTCTCCATACTTCTTCTATAAATAATTATACATTGTCTTTTGAAAATAGCTGCACCTAATTTAGTCCATATTTTACTATCTGTCACCAAAAATGAGATTATTACAATGTAAATGGATCAAAGTGCTTCTGGTTTATATAATAGCATGAAAATATTTTTCACTGATATTCCTTAAAGAATGAAGTAAATTGGAGTTCTGTTTAAACCATAGGGTATCTTTATTGGCTTTGGACCTGGATTCAAGTTTAGTACTAAGGTTGACCCATTTGGAAATATTGAAATCTATAATTTAATGTGTGGTAAGTACAAGCATTTTTTTTAGTTTTTTGCATCCTAGCAAGCCTGATAATACCATTAGGGTAAACAAATAAGAACCTCAAGGCGCTTGTATACATGATGCCACTACCATGTACACGTGACGAAAATGTCACTTTGTGTGGCTTAATGGTGTCACACTGTACATGTGCAAGAGTTTTTGGGGTTTTAAATGAGTTTGCATTGTTGCAAACTATATTACACCCAGATTTAGTTTAGTTTGCAATGATGCGCTGTAGCTATTAGCCCAGGCCTGAGCCATGGGAGAGGCAAGTAGGTTCTATGGAAAAAAAGAATTAGGCCCCTCGCCATTTCTGCTTTCAGCAGGTGCCTGGCGAGGGGCACAATCCATTTTTTTTTTTTCTCAGCAGAGTCTACTTTTTTATTCAAATTCCTAAACCTCTCCTGCAGTTAGGAGTTACTTTTCTGGGAGAGGGTAGATATAGATATAACTTCCCTTAGGCGGTGTTAAACGTGCATTACCCACATTTTCAGGGAGTGTTCTAACCACCGAGTTATTGTATGAAGGGGAAGCAGCTTGCTATTCTTCCACCACTCTGGCTTGCATGGGTCTGATCTAATGTATACTGAGTATGGTCTATGAATTAGATAAATTTTGGACTTAGCTACCTAAAGTCACAGGCTGCTTGCAGATGTTAAAACAACTCCCCAAACCCCCAAACTGTAGTTTACCAGAAGAAGCAGCATGTTACTTGAACCTGACTACAGTGTCTGTATAGATCAGGTGCTTTTTGATTCAATCAGCTATTAGATAAAAGCGCAAAAAAACCCCCCTGCTAAAGCACCTGATTTATACAGTCATCAGGCAAGCTAGGTCCAACTAACACACTGCCTCTTCTGTATGCTGGTCTTGTCACAGGAGCATGCAAAGTTTAAAGTAAAGCACCATTTAAAAAATATATATATTTGAACTTCTTCAAACAGCCACATATGATTGGTATCCTTTCGTCTGTGAGAGATGGTGGATATTGTAGCCTATGGCATAGATGGTTTGCAGTGTCTCATGTGACTGAATAGTCCAATCTGAGATTTGCATGATCTGTGGCAGTGGTTGCAAGTGTACATGTCATGATTTGGTGGGTTAGGGAGCTGCTTGCTTCCTGCAGACTGTTTTCTGCAAGCTGTTGCCCAGGTTTCCCACTGGTCAGGGTCAATGCCAAATGCCTTCATAATTTGCTTGCATGTGTCTTTATAGCGAAGCTTGGGGAGTCCTGTTGTTCTTGGTACCTCCAATAGTTCCCTGTATTGCATGTCCTTGGATATACATCCATCTTCCAATCTACTCATATGGCCTAGCCAGTTCAGTCCTCTCTTTTTGAGTAGGCCTATGACACTTGGTAAATTTGCCCTTTGAAGAACTTCTGTGTTGGTAACTTTATCTTGCCATGTAGGCTCCTTTTAGGGTATAGTGCATAAGGCCTTCAACAGGCACCCAGGACAGCTTCTCAGCTTTCAGGATATGAGATCCAGGTACGGGTTCCTAAAAAACTAAGAGGAGCTGTTGTCACAGTTCCCACAAGGTGCCAGGTTTTAGAAGGGAGTTTGTTCCCTCTTTCCCAGTAGCAAGAGGGAGGTAAAAGAGAAGGAGCATGCCCCTCCTCCACAACAAGACTGTCACAGGTAATAGTTAGGAGTATGAGTGCTAGAAGCAGCTACCTTACTTTACTGTACTGTGAAATGAATGAGTCTCATAGCAGAAACAGGGAGTGCTGCAGTCACGGCACATCAATAATTGTAGCCACAGCTGATCTGTTTTATGCATTTGAATTATTGTTGCAGACCTGCTTGATTTGATACCAGCCTCTAACAATGGGACTCATGGAAGCCTAAACCACCTTTTAAAAAACCCTGTTTATATCCCAAGCCATCCGGAGGAAGTGAGCCGTCCTTCTTCATGTTCAGTCATGAAACTAAGACCCTTTCCAGTGAACCGTGGCTGCATATGCAGTTCATCAGTGAGTTCTCAGATAGATAAAACTGCTGTACTGAAGTCATTTTTGTGATAATCATGTGCTCCCCATTGTAACCTTTACTACGTTTAACCCCTAATTTCTCCCTGTGAGGCCTGATTCAGTACCCAATGGCAGCAACAAATGAAATTTTGCATTCACTGTAAGGGGCATTAGATCATGCTCTGTGTGGCTATTTTTGTTACTTGTGCAAGTAAGTCTGAATTTAGGCACAAGATGTCTGGCATGCTTTGAGAAGTTGTTGCAAAAACATTAAACTCCAGCTTATTTGGCTGAGTGATTCTGGAATTTCCCTTCTATGTGTATAAATGTAGCATGTTTGGGTCACAGTTTGTTGGTTTGAATAGACAGTGCTCCATTTGCCTCCACACAGGGAGCTCCCTCTGTAGTTTGTAGACTGAAGATGTTGAATTTATTAATATATGGAGTGGTCGGGGTTTTTTTCATTGTAGAATATGGATGATGAGGAATGGTGCATTATAAACTGGTTTGGTAACATCCTAATGTTTTCCCTTTTATAGGGTTTGCCAATAAGGGACTTTCACCAACGTTTAAATCTCACTGCATCACAAGGTAAGACTTTTAGACAGTAAGTGGCAATGTCAAATGCTATATATTTTTCCTGAGCTCTACTGACATGTGTGAGATGAACAAAGAATCTCTTCTTTCATGAGCATTTATGCGATGCACATAAACTATGGATAGTAGCTTGGTCTGTCTTGTAAGTTGCTCTTTGAGTCTGTGTTCAGATATGCAGGTTTGGGGCAATGCAAACTGCATACGGTGAACATTAAAATATGCCCCACATGGCAAATCTACCAGGATTTTCTGGTAGCAGCCCCCCAACCCCCAAACCTCCCCCCCAAAAACCAAAACAGAACCAAAAGCAGTGCAACCATGCACAGGCCAGGCCATCCAGAGCAATGCTCTGGCTGCCAGCCAGGCCTCTGTGCTGCCTGACCTGTGCCCCTGCTGCTCCAGGTCACCAGGTAGGACTGCTGGGGCCAGCACCACTTCTTCAGCTGTCTCTGGCTGAAGAGTGGGGAGGAGCTGGGCAAGGGCAGTTTGACCATTGCAAGATAAATTGTCCCACAATGAAGTGCATGTGTGCAGATGTCCACTGTGGCAATTTGTGCAGCTGCAAGCACACTCCCCTGCATGTCTGGACATGGCCTGAAAGTTTATATATTAAGGTGGAAGAATACAGCTCTGATGCAGTATATTTTGGAGCCTAAACAAAGTAGCTAGCATGACTACAGCAGTTGTTACAGTTTCTTTTTTTCTTTTTTCTTTTTTTAACACATATGGCAATATGTGTTTTGATTATCTGGACATACTTACAGTCTCCCAAGTGTTATACATGGAAACAAATTACTTGCAAAGCCCTCTAAATGTTAATGCCATAGTGACTGCATGTATAAAGCATATTTGTTTTAAAGTTTAATTCAGTGGTTCCAAATTTGTGGTATGTGTCTAACTGATTAATTGTAAGAACAAGCAGATTCCTTCTCACTGGAAACAAAAATGTACCTGTGTCAGTTTGATTTGCAGTAGAATATACTTTGTTGTGACTGCTCAGAAGCAGTTGTTTTAATTCTTTAAATGAACATTTGACTTGTAGCCAAGATCATAATAGAACTAGACCCCAAATAATGGTCACATGGAATGTAACTGCTACCATGAACACCTAAGAAAACAGTTTGGGGATGATTACAATGTCAGAATGATCAGTAGGCTGATACCATCCTTATTTTGTGTTTTTGAGCTAGACAGAAGTGACATCACCACTGGCTGCTGATGCTGGCTGCTTTTTCTACCCATTAACAGAAATAGGTGTTTTTGTTCCACTCGAGGCAGGATTAGACAGTTTTGTTTACTTGGGAATAATTTAAGGCTTCTGCAGATTTGTGTAGGCTGCTGTGGCTTAGGAAGTAAAGGAAGTTTTTCTTTTCTTGAATCTAGTCTGTGCATAAAAGTGTGTGCTTTGGAAACTGAGCCCAAAATCCCTCTTCCATGATCGGAGCATTTGTGCTCGGGATCACAAAAATGAGATCCAGTTGAGGACCTCAGGAGTGAACCTGGGAGTTTTGCTTGAGGCCCCAAGTCAACAAGATATTTAAGCCCAAAGTTAATCATGCAGGCCATTCTGTTAAAAGTAGTCAGTTTATTGACTTGCTTAAAGTCAGGTATGTGCTTATGTGGTCTACTGAATCAATGCCAGAGCATATACTGGAGGATCAGGCTTCTTATTTCAATTAACCCACTTTTGCAGCAATGTTCAAATGGTCTGGTCCTACACCCAAGGAGAAGTGTAGGAACTTTTGCACTGTTTTGTGGAAGCTGAATTATGTCCCACATTCAGCAGTGAAACCTCTGACTGTGGAATAAGTGGCACCAGGCCAATCCAAAGGTCAGGTCAGGCCTGCAGACCCCCTTATTCCATGCCCCCCTGACCTCCCCATGCTGAATCCAGTGCACACAGCACCCCCACACCCAGTCTGGCTGCATGTAGCCCATGTCTTGGACTGGCAGGAGACACTATATATAACTGTGACAGGAGTGCCTCTTTGGGTTCATCTACTAGTGACCCCGCAACTGATTATGGGCCAACTGCCCACCTTCTCATCTGCCACACCTTGTTGTTACTTGCTCGATTAGAAGACATTAATCAAGCAGGAGGCTGCCCATTTTCTGTCTCGGTGCCTGGGGCACTATCTGCGGCTCCTTTCCTTCCCTTACACCGCAGCCCAAGCCTTGCAGATGTACCTGACATTGTTCAGGTCTGCTCCATTCTCTACGCCACACGGACGCTCTCTGGCTTGTCTCGCAGCCTGCACCCTCTCCACGCCACACGGACGTTCTCTGGCTGGTCTCACAGCCTGCGCCCCCACCGGCACTCTCTGGCTTGTCTCGCACTGCCCGCTTTGGGGATTCTCGCAACTGCCTGCTCCGGGGCTGGGGTCAATACACCCTTCAATGTTGTGCCCTCTTTGGCACCGGGTCCCCACGCTACCGTGGAGCCCCTATGAGGCCTTCTCCAACCCCTAATAGCCTCACCCGGTCCTCTGGTGTAACAACAAACACAAAAACACAAAGCCCCCTGGGCTATAACATAAAAACTAACCCATCCGGCCAAACAACATTCAATCCCTACCGGGAAATACTCCAACCCCAGCAGTGCCCCAGGGATGCTCACACAGTCAGAGTTGTCCCCTCTGCCTGCACTGGCCGCGCTCCTCCTTCCTTGGTTGCCAGAGGGGAACTGCCCTCCTGGCCTCCTGCCTGGGTTTATATGGGCCAGGCCCTGCCCCTTCCTGTCAGCTGGGTCCCCAGCGGTTGTCCTGGCAACCAGCACCCGTTACTCTGGCTGCCCAGGCAACTGGCAGCTGAGCCTCCCCCATCTTGCCACTAGGGGTCTCCCCCGAGTTGTTTTTCTGCTTTCAGGCACAGGGCACCTGAGTGCCCTGCAACAATAATATAGGTACTGGACTGGCCAGAATGAGCATGGTATGTAGTGCGGGTCTCAGGACAGGTGCTGCACGTGGTGCCTACTCAGCCAGTCTGGGACCTGTGCTGCATGTGGCACCCATTTTGACCACTCCAGGATCTGTGCCCTACCCCTTAGCTGCAGAGAATAGGACAAAAAGCAGTGGCTTTAAATAGTAGGAAAGCAGCTTTAGATTAGATCCCAGGAAACATTTTCCTTGTTGCTAGAACAGTGAGGCTGTGGAATAGATTGCTTAGGGACGTGGCAGAATTTCCTTCAAGTTTTCAGGAGGCTGGCTAAGTGCTGGATAGAGATAGTTTAGGAATGGCATTCCCTCTAAGATGTGTGGTGTGCACAGCCATGCAGGTGTGCTCATGCTGCACTGCCAGACACAGCTGCACATGCCATGCAGCTTAGAGGGAACACTGTTTAGGAATAAAACTAGAGATAAAATGTGTTTGGCAAGTGTGGTTCAGAGAAATGTGATGGGGTGAAAATAAATGAAGAATGTGTGATGGATCTTTCAGGAGAGGGTTTCAGGCTTTTTTTTTTAGTATTTTTGGCTGAGGCCTTGGTTTTCTGGGGCAACTGAAGGGGAAGGCATTTGTACATCTTGCAGATTAGAGAGGGTTATTTATGAGAACGTGTCCAATTAGTGTTGACTTTGGTCAGGGGAGGGAATGCTGGATTGAGCCCCATATTGCAGCTGTTCAGGAAAGCTTGGTTCTGGTACTGGCAGATGTGAGTTCAAGTAATTCCCTGCCTCTACAGTTGTGTGCTGGCCAGCTGAGGGAATTACTGGGGCTAGTTACTGGAGTACCTGCATGCCAAACCAGCAATCCCAAAAACTGGGGCAAGAAACAAGGGGAAGTTCCTACTTTTAGATAGAAAATTATAGGCATTAGAGTCACAAGTCAATGGGCCAAAGGGAGGGAACAGGTAAAAGGTAAAGAAATAACAGTGTAGTAACATATACTCAGCACCTTAATTCTCCCCCTCTGCCCTTGCATACACTTCCAGATGTGTCCCCAAACAAGCCTTTAGTCCCAGAGTGCTCAAACAGCAGCAGTCTGCAGCTGCCCTGAAGTCTGAGTCCAGCTTTTTCAGTCCACAGTCCTGGCTGACCAAGCCAGTGGGATTTTCAGCTCCACTGTGTACTCCTCTTGTATAGGGCTGACTGGGTTCCATGTGCGTGCTGCTCTTTGTTCTCCTTGCTCCAGGCTCTGGCTTTTTTTCAACTTGTACAACTCTTTTGCCTTTTACTAATGATCCCCTTACTCCAGCCTCCAGAGTCCTGCCTTGCTTGCCTTGCTCTTCCTTTTTTCCCTGCGTCAGCCCCTTGTGCTAGGGGAAGAATTTACACATAAACTGGTTTAAGTGATCAGAAACTGGATTAAACCTGTAACAGAACAAACATTCAGTGCACATAAACCAGTTGCTGAAACTGGTTTAAAATAAATCTTATTGAATGTAGTATCAGACTTAACTGATTGAGGTCAAACCGGTTTATGGAACTTCTGTCCCAGATCATTTCCAGGTTTAAGTTAGACCAGAGTCCCCCAGCATCCCAGCATGCTTTTCAGCCCTGGGCTAGCTAGGCTGTGCTGTCTGCTCCAGAGAGTAGGGCTAGCCCCACCCCTCTGCCGTCTAGCCAGAGTAGGGGCAGGGGCATTACCAGATGCTGGCCTGGCATGGCCCCCTGAAGTGAAGGGGGCAGAGAGAGGGTTTATTCCTCCCTCCCTTCACTCCCCTCCCACAGGACCCTAGCTGAGGTCTGCCTGGCCAGGTGGATCAGCCCCATCAGGGTCCCTTCCCCTTCACTGCTTCAGCAGCAGAAGCAGGGGCATGATCAGACACTGGCCCAACATGGCCCCCTAAGGTGAAGGGGGCAGGGAGAGGGTTTATTCCCCTCTCCATCCCTTCTCCCATTGGGGGACCTCAGTTACAGTCTTCCAACCCCAGCCACTGCCTCCACTACTTGGCCCCAGTCAGGCAGACCCTGGCTAAGTTCTCCAGGGGTGGGGGGAGTGGGGAGGGACACCAGCTGGGATCCTCCATGCCCATGCCCAAGAGGGCAAAAGACAGGGGAGTTTAATCTCAGTCCTTCCCCCCCTTCACCTGTGGCACTGCCCTGACTGGTATTTGGCCATGCCACCCCCCGCCCCCGGAGACAAACCTGGCAAGGGCTGTTTCTCCCTTCCCACTCCAGGCACGCCCTGACTCAGGTCCCTGTAGGCCAGGGTTGGGGTTTAAACCCCTCCCCAATCAAACTTAGTGACTTGCCAGGGCCTGGCCATAGTCCCACCCCCGCCACAGGTCAGCTTCCCTCCAGCCTTGTGGTTGCTGCCAAAGGGAAGGCAGGGCTCACTCTAGCATCCTCCAGCTTCTAGCCTGAGCAACTGCAGGCACATGACTGCATTTCTGGAATCAAAAGTGAATGTCTGCTCACTTGCTTCTTGGTTTAATCTACATAGATTAGACTAAACTGCAAAGATTGAATCAATTCAGGTCAGGCTTTTTGAATGTCTGTACTTAGCCTTGGGGTTTCTGGGAGTTGTAGTCCAAATCAAGAGTCATCACAGCTCTGCAGACTAGCCTGGTTCCACCTGCTGTTACACACATTATATTCATGTTACACCTGCAAGCTGGTCAACAAAAGCCATTGCTAACTGGGAATTGTCTGGACTGGTTTAGAGGATCATTCAGTCCCCAAAAGGGGAGCCCTTACTAGTTCTGCCAGAGATTAGAAATGTGACTATATAAACTGAGCGTGTCTGTACGAGATGCTACTGTGCAGTGGTTTCTGTGCATTTATTTAGTACTTGTATAAGCAATTAATAAATGGACAGTAACTGGAGTTACTGCGCAGTAGTGTCAGCGAATGCCTTTTAAGTGACACTACTGTGTAGTAGCCTAATACTACTGTGCAGTAGCATCTTGGCACTGTTTTTGCCATGCAATGCTACTGCACAGTAGTATCAGGCTACTGCGCAGTCAGCGTCTTGTGCACGCCCGCTGTGTTCTGGGTTGCTGCTAGTAGCCAGCAATGGCTACTTTGTACTTTACCTATTGTGCTGCTTGGAGATGGGAGTGCTGGGGTCTGTCATCAGTAGACCCTGCCTTCCGTCATCCCCCTCTGGTGTGGTAGCTATCTATTACAGTTTTAAAGACACACCAAGTGAATGCTCATGTCAGCATAGGATATATTGGCCCACAGAATCATCAAGTTAACAATAGAACAGCTAAAATGGAAATTGTATGCTACAAGCTGTTCTACACTCTTGTAGATGGGGCCTGCATAGAAAGGCCTTCATGGCTGCGTGTATAAAATAAACCTTCATCATCAATCTGTGTGGCATTGACAGCAGATGTGGAACTAAGTGCCATCCTCGTAAAGGTTTAGCCAGTTTTTCATTGTGCCATTGATTAGATTCACCAGGTCTCTTAGAAGTCCTTTAATTCTACTCTTTCATGTGAGTCGCTACTCAACTTGGGTGGTTTTAGTACAGCAATCCTTTCAGCTAACTCCAAACCTCACAGTCACTATGTTTCCAAAGTAGCATATTTTTGCAATGAGTTCCAGATGAAATTCTTAAACATCCAACCAAGCTTTTGAGAATTTCAGACTCTCTTGAGTTTTAAATGATTTCTCTGTACTGGCAGGATACATAGCTCTCCCTTTGAGTTTAACTGCAGTGTAAAACAGGAGCCATTGGCTATTTTACTTTGTTTTAATTGTGTTAAATGTAATGCCCTGGCTTAACAGAGTGATGCTGTACAAGATTGGTACTTTTTTATCCTTAGTCATGATTTTATTATGTAGCAGTTGGAAGTTATGACCAAAATTTGGTCACAAGAAGCATGATGGTGCATGGCAAAAAATGTTAGCGACCAATATACAAAGTGCATAGAAATTGCAGCTAAAACTGTTTGTGTTCTAGAAAAGAACATAGAAGAATACAATTTGCCATATGGGAAGCCTAGGGTTCTACAGAAGAAAAGCATCTCTTGCCTCCTCTACCATCACCAGTATGTGAGTGGATACAGCAAGGACCTCAGCATGCCTTTGTGGAGTGCCTACACTATTAGCAAATCTGTAAGTTTTTTGGAGGGTTCTGTAATGTTTTGTTCCTCCCATTGCTGTGATTTATTTTTGACCTTTTTGTCTTTGGTCTTTTTTCTTCTTTTGCGACCTAGAATTGGAGGACTGGAGGGAAACTGCTTTGTTTTTTGAGTATTGATTGTCCCCAAATGCAGCTGCCCATAGCATCATTTCTTACGGAAAGGCCTCCAGGATAGGGAATGTCAGGAGGAAAATACTGTGAGGTTCTTTGGGCCTTCTATTTATACTACTATTATAAGTAGTATTCTTTACAGTGGATGGACTTTTGCTCCTATCCCTCCCTTGGAGTGAGCTAGCTCCATGTCAGTCTTCAAAAGTCAGCATACAGCATGGAACCCAGGGACCTGCTAGAAGGCAAAGGTCATCAGTACAGAAAGTCGCAGGAATTTTCACTGACATTGATCCTTAGCTGGGGCGGCTTCTTGGAAGTGTGAGTTGATAGGCATTCTTGACAGTGGATGCCCTTGTAATCCTCATTTTAAAACTGGGTTCCCATAGCATAAAGGGAAATGGTAATACAAATAGTTTCTGTAGGGTTAGTATCTTATAAAGGACTGCACAGGGCCCTAATCCATATCCGTCCCTATAGGGAGAATGGGGTAGGGACAGATGGTAGTGAAAAGATTAATTATCGTCCCTCTGTCCCTACACACACACATGTGCTTTCCAAGCAGAATGAAGGAGATCCACATGTGAATCTTGGGAGCACAACTGGCCCATGCTTTTCAAGGTTGTCATTTCTATTTTTGCAAAAACTTTCGAAGCTAAAAGTAACTGTTTTCTTACTCATAGGTCAGTCTGGAAAACTCTTTGAGTTGAGATGCTTGTAATAATGGCCGACAGACACCAAATCCGTGTCTTCACTTATTAGACTAACAGTAATTTTTTGTTCCAAAATGTCCTTATCCTGAAAGTCAACCTATGAATATTTGCCACTAAAATTTCAGCAAATGTGTTATCATTCCTTGGCCAAGCTTTATTTTTAAAGTGAAACTTGCTGTAATACTACATTTCTTGGAACATTTTTCTTCAAGTAGTCTTATCTTTAGAACTGATTAAGACAAACTAGGATTTTGTTCAGTTGATTTATTTGGGAAACTGCAGTTCTTTCAATAAATGTTTGCTATTTTAAAAGATAATAGCAAAGCTGTACTTAAGACTGAACTGCGAGGAAGCCAGAAATACGTCACAAAACTGAAATCCTGGACTACTTAAATTGCTTTTACAATAACATCTTGTAAATTTTCTCAAGTTCTTTTCATTTGCCCAACAAAGTCTTTTCAATAAGAAAAATTCTTCCCATCTCACCTTAAAAATAATCAGTTGTGTCCATTTTAGTTGTATGATACTCATAAAGCAAAAGAGATACCAAACATTTTACACCATCTATAAGTCACTCTCATTATGCAGTTAACATCACTTAGGCCATGCCCACATGAGCGTGCATGTTTGGTTCCCTGGGCACAACAAGCAGTGGCACACCTTGTGCTGCTGCTAGTTGTCCCCGGCGAACGCCTGTGCCATGTGCCCTCCAGTGCACAGCAGGTTACCCCTGGTGGGGTAGAGGAGGCTGGGGCCAGCACTGGACTGGCCTCAGCAACCTTACCTGGGCTCCTGGGGCTGCAGCAGCAGTGATTCAGCTGCTTGGAGCCTGGCTGGCTGCTGAAGTGTGACTCTAGCTGGCCAGGTTCTGATTTTGAGTAGTGTGCACTGCTCCCGTGTGCACCACTCGGGGGGGGGGTTTGTGCAGGTTTTTGTGACTCCTGAATATCCAGGGATCACACACATACACCTGCCCCCCATGCTGCTCCCTTGCAGCATGGAGAAGAGCTGAATGCACAGTATATGGCACCATAGACATGTCTGCAGCGCCACATACTGCATGGCCATGCTCATCTGGATGCAGCCTTACAGTCCAATTTTTAAAGATTTGTAAGCACAAGAATTGAAGACAAATAGTTCTGAGCTGACTATTTATACAGCAATTACGTTCTATTTATGTTCAATAGGACACTTGGGTTGGGTCTATGGAAAATATCTCCAGCTGTTTACATATGGATATTCGCACCCCTTCCAGTCACAACCAGCTTTGCTCGTTCTACAAGAATCACCCTCGACTAAACTACGGATTCCTTTCTCCGCCAAGTAAATACATAGCTTTTTTCACATACTGTGTCTGAGTCCTGTGAACCTTTGCCCTGTAGGGGAAGCCTTTTGCAATAAGTTGTTCCAGGAAATTAGTCAACTGTCAGGTTGCTACCGTAGACTCATAAGCAATATATTCCACAACATACAACTTATTTTAGCAGAAAAAGTGTAGGAGTCTGTCAAACTTTACTTTGACAGATGGCAGGATATGTGAGATGTTTTCATCACATTTTGAAAGTCCATGAAGTAGTCTGGTTTCTAAAGCAGCATCTTATACAGGAAGGGAGAGAGACTGCATCAAGTTTTGCAGACTACTGTAATACAGCTAATGAAAGTTTCCCTTTCCTCTTACATGGTTTGTAGAATTTGAGTGTGTTTCTCATTGGAAGACTGCTTTGTTGATTTCATTTTATATTTGAAATCCAAAATTGCACTACATCAGGTCTTCAGCAAATTAAACCTTTGGGCCCTTGAATTTAAACACTTTACAATTTGTGGAGCCATTTTAAACCTATGTAAGGTGAATTAGAATTATAGTTATGATGACTTCAGTAGTATTTTATTCCTGCTTCTCTCAGTTGTAAGTGACTATGCAAAGTGACGGGCAATGGATTATTTATTTACACTGATCCCTAGGTCCCAGGACAGTACTTTTTTGGTTTATGTAGAACAGATATTTCTTATAGACCTGATTTAGTACTTACCAGAGTCAGAACACAGGCTCCCCTGGACTTTGTGGGAGGCAGCATCAGGCCTTAATGATATTTACACATTTGTCATAAGTGAGGTGCACATTATTCTCTTTATGTTGATCTTAAAACCTCCATGTAGATGGCACTTCAGGCCAACTATAATGCCAAGTAGTGAATACCTATAATGGTGTCAAAATTTTCTTTTAGATTTAATAAAAGACACGAAGAACAGCCACTATGAAGCACTACTTAGCAGCAACATTGTGCCAATGTATCCTGGTTTTCAAGGTAATTTTTCTTTACATACATTTGCATGCAAGACATGTTGATATGCTTGCTTTCAAATCAGGCAAAGGATGTCTTACTCTATAAACTAAAACCCAACCAGGAGAATGGTTACAATTGGGCAGATTGTGAATTCTATGCACAATGATGAGGAGTTGCTTGAAGAGTCGATAAGAGTACTCATGTAAATAGTTGTTCATCACAGTGAGTTAGCATTCTCAGTCTGTGGGTCTATGCAACCCAGAACCCAGAGGCAGTTTCCTAATTTAACATTTTACAAGCTCTTGCTGCTTATTTTTTCCTGCTGTCTGAATTTCACTTGTACAGATTTCATGCAGTATGTCTTTAATGGACATTGGTGCAAGTTGTATAGTTGCACATACTACAATTGTTTCCAGTTTAGGAGCAGGTTCTAGATTGCAAAATGCTCTTTTGTCTGAATTCTCATTTGAAATATGAGCCCACTCTAGCAATAAGAAAATAAGGACAATAATTACACAGCTAGAGGAAAATGAATGTAAGAGCTTAGCAAACACTGGTGAGACTGGGCACATCTGCACATGCCAATTTAAGGTGCATTAGCCATTTTTAAGGCACATTAAGGGTGTGGGTCTACACGTGTGCCCATAATGTACCTTAAAAATGGTGATTTTAGGCTAATTGTGCCTAAATTTTCTACCTGCTTAAAGCAGGTATCAAACTTAGGCATGAATAGTTAAGGCACCTTAAGGGACGTATAGATGCCTTAAGGTGCCTTAATGCTGTGTGTGTTGACTGAGTGGGCCAGAGTCGAACCCATGGGACCCTGCACTGCTGCTGGGTGCCACCAACAAGAAGAGGTGGCAGGTGCTGTTCTCCAAGATTCAGATGCTAGAGCTGGAGCGGCAGTTCTGGCAGCAGTGGTACCTGTTGGTGTGCTGACTGATTTGGGACCTACATGCCTTGCTTGGAGCCACGCATGTGGTCTCCAGTGCCTGGGAAGCGGCTTCCTGTCTGCATCAGTATCAGATGCCCCAGAATTAATCCCTTCTTTGAAGCTCAGTGGAACCAGGAGTCTTGGGCTGCTTAGGGAGATCAGTGTCACACCTGTCTTTACCTCATAATCAAACACCTCATGGCACAGGAAACTCCTTGGGTGCAGAAATGAGCAACAAAGTGGCACCAGTGCCCCTGACAGCAGTTAAGGGACACCGTCCTGTGAAACTCTTCGTTGCCTCCCTAGCTTCTCTCCTCTCCACCATGCTGAAAGCCGAGGGGCCACAGCAGAAAGAGGCAGACTCTGAACCACAACGCTTTCCCAGAGGCTGGGCATGGTGAGCCACAGGGGGCACTGGGAGCTCTGATACAGATGCAGACAAGAAGTTGAATCCCAGGTACCGGGGAGCATATGCGCAGCTCCGAGCAGGGTGAGCAGGTCCTAAGCCGGTTGGTACATCAACAGGTACCGCAGTCGCCAGAGCCACTGCTCCAGCTCTAGTGTCTGCACCTTGGAGAACAGTACCCACTGCATCTTCTTGGTGATGCCTGGCAGCAGCGCAGGGCCCCACAGGCTCAGCTCCAGCCTGCTCTTGACCGATGCTGGGGAGGCAGGAACATGGGGAGGGGGTTAGGGCTGGGGCAGGGCCAGAGTTGGGCTGACTGCACCTGAGGTGCTGGAGGTTCCCACCTCTTTAGCTGGTGCTGGGCTGCACCGCCT